GAGAAATACATATGAAATTAAAAAAAGATCAAGAGATAACTCAGATGTTTTAACAGGTACTGTCATAAGATATTTCACTAGGCAAAGGGAAGTTTTCAGGTACACCATACTTTTTCATACTACGTTTTAAATTATTTTCTGAGCTAGGGTCTTGAACTCCTTGGCTCAAATGATTTTCCTTCTTCAGCCTTTCAAGTATGATATTACAGCACTTGTATACTTTTTTAAATGGACTCCATAATTTTTAGTGTATGAGCCAATGATCTTTAGTGAATTTACAGACTCGTGCAACTATCACTACTACAGTGCACACATTATTTTGCTTTTTTACACTACTAGAGAACCAACCCAATTTCTCAACCACCAGGCCACACCTCCATTCCTCACATCTCACTATATATACTTTTTTTTGTACCGGGATCTAACTCAGGGCCTTGTGCTTGCCAGGCAGGCGCTTAGGCTGCTGAGCTATCTCCCAGAGCCTTCACAGAGCTTTTAAATTCCTTTTCTAGACATAAAACTTGTCCCAACATCCGTGATATTAAAAGGCCTACCAGAGCATTAAAAACACGTCGTTAAGCTTCTATGCTACTATGAAACAACCTATCAGACAACGACTGAAAAAAAAAAATTCACAAAAATTTCTTCTTATCCTTGGGCTTTTGTCCCTACCAGGCTACGCAGTTCCTAACTCTACCAGATGTGCTGGGAAAAAAAGAGCTGGGTTATCGTTTCCCCCTCCCAAGTATTACAAACAGTGCGATTTCCTGTAAGATCAGGAGCTAAGTTTATTTTCTTTCCTATTTCCTGGCAAAGGCCTAACACGTGTGAACGGAAACAAACCCCACAAACCGCGGCGAAGGTAAATATTCTTAGGGACGGGATCTAACTCAACACAATTCTATTTTTCCCAGAGACTCTGCAGGGGTCGGCCAGCGTCCACTGACCCCTCAGATCTTAACCGTGAACAAGAATCCTGGATCAAGTTTGAATTTTCCTACTTACCAAGTTTCCCAAAACAGAGTTGGGGGGCAGGGTGGAGGGGGAAAATAAACATTTTTAATATGCACCCGAAAGAGATGGTTGCACAACAGGCTTTGGGAAGTATTCCGGTTTAACAGGTAACTATAACAGCGGAAACAAGGGAGATGTGATCTACTCCGCGGTACCAATGGCAATTCGAGATCTCACAGCCGCAGACAAAACCCAAAGTTTTAGTTCATCCATCACATACAGTTCACTTGAGGAATTCCGAAACGAAACTGGAATTAAAAACTTGGAAAAAATGGGGGCTATGAAGTCAGTAAGTCAGCACGAAACTCAGGGTAGGCAGAAAAATTCTTTGACTACTCCCGCTTTGTTTGGCGGTCAGACGGCAGAATCACCGAATTTCGGAGCTGGAAGACACGCATCTCGGGGTTCTCCGGCCGTTCTCAGACTTCAGAGCCGCCCCGCCCGCCCGCCGCGCCCTCGGGCTGTAGTGCCCGGATTGAAGGCGCGGACGTTCGGGGTGGAACCAGGGAGCTCGGGGAGGCCGCGGCCCGGGCCGCGACGCCGGGGCCGGAAGGGAGGGAAGAAGAGCTCTCCCGGGAGACGCCCGAGGGAAAGAGGGGAAGACAGCGCGGCGCAGCCCGCAGCGAGTGTTCGGCCCGGTCACCCGCCCGCGAGGCCCGCCACGGCTTACCTTTGGCGAGGGCTACGGTGGAGTTCTCGGTGTCGATGGTGTAGAGGATGCCCTCGTAGCGGATCTCCGCCTTAGAAATGAGGCTGATCTTGCTGCCGATGTAAGGAGTGCCCCCGCTCATGGCGCCGCCGCCGCTCCGGGCCGCTCGCAGAGGCAGATCCCACGCCGCTGTCGCCGCTCCGCACGCCCGCTCGCTCCGTCGGCACCTACAGCAGCTGCCTCAGACCCAACATGGCGGCCTCGCCGGCTCCGCTACCCTCCCCCAGCCTCCCGCCCTCAAACCGCGGCGCGGCGGCGGCGGCGGCGGCAGCGGCGGCGGCGCGGGGCATGCTGGGCGGGCGAGGCCACACTCTCGCGAGCTTTGGACGACGGACAGCGACAGTCTGGTTAGTCTAGGCTGCGTCGCTCGTCTGGTTTATCACCAGAGAGAAGTTTCGGAATAGGGGAAGTAGTTCTAAGCTTAGGAACACAGTGGCGATGACTGGAGAAGTTCTGGTTCCTCCTTATGGCTCTGTGTGCGGCCTCTGCCATTTCTACGCTCGTGTTTTTGTCGTGACCTGTGCCTTTTTATTTATCTTTACTTTCTTGTGGTACTGGGAGTAGAACCCCGGGGCTTAGCATAGGTACTTCTGAGGTACCTTTCTAGTCCTTTAAAAAACATTAAAAAAAATTTGGGGGGAGGAAGGGGGAGAAGGTCTCGTTAGATTAGGAGGCAGGGCTTGAATTTAGAATCTTTCTGCCTCGTTGAGTGTCTCTGTAAGCGTAGGTCTTTGTATCTGGAAAGTTAACGCGCCTCTTTCCAACTTGCTGGCGAGTTAATGGTCATTTTTAGATAGGTTGTAGCTCAGTGCGAAAGCCCTGGTTGAACCCCAACACACATACACAGCCATTTGCCTGCTAAGGCAACCACGCCCCTCTTGCAATTTCATGGTCTTGTTACTGCTGAGGTTGTCATCCAAGGATCCCTCCCCCAACGCGCACGGAGGCTTTTGTGGTAGGAACTGGGACTCCATTCCCAGATCTCAACTTTTTTTTTTTTTTTTTTTTTTTTTTTTTTTTTGGAATTGAACTCAGGACCTAGGCAGGTGCTTATGCCCCTGAGCTATCTCCCTAGCTCAAATTTTAGCTCTTCTCTGTTCGTCGCTTTCGGGTAGCCTGATC